AATACTGTTTTCTTACTGTGCTGTGATGGAGTTTATGTCCAGGTTTAGCTTGTTTAATGCAAAGACTGTTCATCTTGTCTAGAACTGTTTCTCTATATTTTCCAACAAAATCTGTTCCATGCTTGAATGTTATTTGCTATGTGCCAATCAAAACACTTGGTATATGCACAAACACATATGTCTCCATCTTTCTTGTCAACCTTGATGTCCAGGAATGCAAAAGGAGAAAAACCTAATTCAGAATGCAACATCTTACAAATGATGCCTTCTACTTGTCATTTTTTAAGTGAACACAGCCATGGCTTTTCCACAAACTGAGATTATTTTTGATGAGCTTCCTTGTTGAATAGGAAAAGCCATTTCCTGTAATCGCTTGAAACGCAAATTTCTGTTGGGTTATTCTTTATTCACGCTTTATTCATATTCCCAGGACAATTCCCACATCTAACCCCCAAAAATAAATAAATAAACCCAAATAAGATAATTAAATTGTAAGTGCCGTGTGTGTGTGTGTGTGTGTGTGTGTGTGTGTGTGTTTTGGGGGGGACATCTTTTCCCAGTGGCTTATAAACATCCTTGTTCATAGTTCAATGATTTGGGTGAACCCAACTGTGGCAGTTGATAAACCACAATTTATGGGTTTGGAGTTTGTATAAAACCTACCAACTGTGGTTTATTCAATATAGAAAGGTTAAAGAATCTATAGGTTAAAGCATATGGCATATATCCAGCATATTGATTATGACCATTTGATATCCAATTGTTTGCCTTAAGGGAATTTTCTGTTTTTCCCGCTCAATTATGATGTCCTGGAGGTATCTACTTAGCTTTAAAGGAGACCCAGTGCTAACCAGATGGTTTGGTATAGCACGTTTTTAGGGGTTTTTTTTTTCTCCCTAAACTTCTTAGCTTCTTTTGATTGTTCTAAACAAACACCAAAGAAAATGGAACTGATATTCAAAAAGGTGCCTCCTTATCCCCTGATGTAAGACAGTCTGGATGATTGATTTACATGAAATCTCTCAGAGCAGTACATTTCCTTCTCGAGTCCCATCAGATCATCCTTCATCCCTGAAAACAAATGACCTTGCATTAAGCTGCCAGGGCTTCCTGGGGTAGTTGGCAAAGCCCAAAAAGCAAGGACCTGAAAGCAAGACAGAGCAGAGCAGTTGATAGCAGCCATCTGCTAGCTAGACAGTAACGAGAGCCAAGCATCCTTCAAGCCTACACTTCCTCTGGCAAATGTTAGGTCCCATATCAGCTCCGGCAACCTTCTTCCCTTCTTCCCTTCCTGAGTCAATGGAGACACCCAGTTCTTTGGAGGATGCTTCCTGCACGCTCCATCTTTTCCCCGTGCCTTTCCCCAAAACTAACTGTCCTTTCCAAACGACGTGAGCACCAAATCCGTTCCTCATGGGGAGCATTCGGTACAGTCAGTCCAAGCTTGGAGAGACAAATGATTCTTGGCCAGAAGACAAAGTCATTCTTGACTGCCCAGATTGCTAGGCAAGTTGTTGTTGTTATCTCAAATACCAGATTCAAGTGATCTGATTTTTTTTTTCCCCTTCTACAGGGACTAGAGAAGAAATGGAAGGAACCATAGCATCCAGGCAGGTTCCTGCTGGTCCCCTTGAATTCACCTTCTGCTTCCAGAAGAACCATCCTATTGTCTGAGCGCAGACCAGACACAATCCTTTCTTTTGGACTGATGTTGCTTTCAGAACCTTTACCACTGCCCCTTCTCTTAAGAATACCGGTATCTATTTTCTCTGCCTTTTCTTCCTGCACAGATCCCAGGATTCCTCTTGGTACCTGCCCACGTCAGTCAAAATATCCATCCTCAAAGAGAGAGACTCTGTTGGTGCAATATATTATGACTACACCTTTTCTTCGTGGTTGCATCCATCTGTTCCTTGCTATTTCCCATCCACCCAAGGGTCCCCCATGAGGCAGTGGGCCTTTAAGGCAGAGTCCTGGATTCTAAGCAAGATGGACAGTGGAGAAAAGGTTTTTTTTAAATAGATGTGGTTCGGACTTTTAGGTTTATTTTCACGACTGGTCAATAGAATTTGAGACAGATGATAAGGTAGTTTAGAAGCATTCTTGCATTGGCTAATGGGACTGAAGACAGACATAATGTTACAAGCTGTTATTTTAGGCCTCAAAACAAGATTCCCAACCTTTATCTTATCAAGTTAAATTATAGATTGTTTTTAAAAAGTGTTCTAATCATAGGAGAGAGAAAAAATAGATTGGCAAGATTATAAGCACTAGCCAATAGATGACCCCTTTTCTCCTACTTATGGGAGAGATCATAACTAACATTTTGCCATCCCATCCCTTAATTTTCAAATATACATCCATCCCTCTCCACTTCGTTTAAAAAAACATTATGTCTGCCTTCACCACTGAGGGTGGCGAGTTTTGCAAATGCCACAGAACCCCTCAGATTAAGCCTGTTTCTCAGAAATCTCTTCCCGTACTGCCTTCATCTGTCTGAACGAAAGGGAAAAAGCAAATTGTGGTCCACCTCCAGCCAGAAGAACAATGCCATTCCTTGTTTAGTGCAGACTGGTGTTCTCTCAGCCTCCCTCTTGCATGTTGCATGCTAGCTTATTCCTTTGTGCTCAACACTTCTACGCCTCCTTTAGAGATGTTGTGCAGATGGCCTCCTTTAGACCCACCCATTCAGTTGTAGATGTATTCCCTTTCACCAGTGATTTGAAACGGAGATATTATTAATCCTTTGGGTGTCTCTGGTTGTTTTCATAGTGCTGTGACTTCTTTTTTCAAACCGACAGTCGCTGTAGGGTGGCACTGCTTACCAGAACCTTCGAGCCAGAGGGAGATGGTGACCTCTCAGCAAGTTCACTTTTACTATCTGCCCCCTCCTCCCCACCCCACAATTGGCCTCCAGGTTCATGATTTGCATGGATCCAAATGGACAATTGGTGGCTAAGATCTTTTCCCCCAATGCAAACCACCACTTCTTATAGCCCCAGGTTTGGGAAATGCCATTTGTATTAAAAACATTTTGCCTGCCTGTTTTGATGACGATACGTTCAGTCTCCCCGATCACTCAAAGCCTCCTGGATCTTGCTTTGATAAGCGCACTAAAGCTTCAAATGACCCAGTTGGGCTTTACAGATGAGAGGGCTCTAATCTAGCAATCCAAAGAAGAGCCCAGGTTCCCTGATTGGCTAGCACAGGGGTAGTCAACCTTGGCTCTTTTGTGGACTTCAACTCCCAGAATTCCTGAGCCAGCACAGGTGGCTCAGGAATTCTGGGAGTTGAAGTCCACGAGTCATAAAAGAGCCAAGGTTGACTACCCCTGGGCTAGCAGCTGAGAAAAGAGAGACCACCTCAACTTTTTCTTCAGTGCCTCTGAGAGTGCATGTGCATCCATGTTACCCCTCGGTATGTAGACAGTCACATTATTGCCAGTGGTGATGGTGGAACTGGAACTGGAGAAAGAGTAAGGTAGAAGCATTCATGCCAACATTCTCCTCTGCATTCTCTGTGCCATAAGGAAGAATGGCAAACTCCATTTAGTCAAGTCACTACAAGACACAACGAACGCCATGTAGGAAATGACCTTTTCTTATTCAGCTTCATTTGACTCATGCCCTCTCCTCCCCTCTCACTTGTGAATACTCTCCTGCTTGTCTTTCCTTTTTTCCTTAGATCTTCTTTCTCACCCACCGACAGTTTGGCAGAATCTGCTGCCCTTGTCTTTTTTAGTATCTCTCTCTCTCTCTCTTTCTCTCTCTCTCTCTCTTTCTCTTTTTGCACGTGATGTCTTCTACTAAGATGGAATGTCAATAAATAATGTTATGTAAAACAAGAGTGCTGAGGTCTTTAGTAGCAAGTGTATATTTTTAATTAAAAATCTTCCAGGCAGATGTAAAGGATGAAGCTGGGTAGATATCCAAAATGGGAAGAAAAATGAGGACGTTACAGCAGAAATCAGAATCCAGCAAAGTTCCACTTTCAGAGTTTTTATTTGTGTGGCATTCATGGCAATTCCTGCTTTAGCAGAACTTCAGTAGCAATTCTGGAAAACCGAGCTTTTAATCTCCCATTCAACATTTAAGAACTTTTCCTCTTCATTTCGTGGAGATGATTCCGAAGACATTATTGATGTCTAATTCCCCAGAAAGCTTCTTTGAATTGCAAATGCCTTTTTCCCATGGCAACCAAGAAACATAAGGGGTTCTAAGACAATTTAAGAACCAAACAATGTGAGATGCAGAAAAACATAGACCTAGAATCCACCAACATGAAAATGCCTTTTATGTTCCCAGAAGAATCCTTACTGTCATCCCTTGTATTAGGGTCACAATAAGTCCACATTCATTATAATGGGTGGAGGGAAAACAAACTGAAATCTTTGTGTTTACTTTTTGATAATGAATAGAAGTTTTGTGGGTTGATATACAGCCATACTTTGGCTTTACAAAACAGCAGCCCATGCAAAACTGCAAAGTGACATCCCATCCTACATATGAAGGGAAATGACTGTTTGCGCTTTTGCATTTATCCTGGAAACATATTGGCAAGTGAAGAAACATGTGCAACTTCTATTTGTCTACTCTTTGCACACTTGGAATATTGCATCCAGTTTGATCACCACGATGTAAAAAAGATGTTGAGACTCTAGAAAGAGTACAGAGAAGAGCAACAAAGATGATTAGGGGACTGGAGGCTAAAACATATAAGGAACGGGTTGCTAGAATTGGGTATGTCTAGTTTAATGAAGAGAAGGACAAGGGGGGGACATGATAGCAGTCTTCCAATATCTCAGGGGTTGCCCCGAAGAAGAAGGAGTCAAGCTATTCTCCAAAGCACCTGAGGGCAGGACAAGAAGCAACAGATGGAAACTAACCAAAGAGCGAAGCAACCTAAAACTAAGGAGAAACTTCCTGACAGTTAGAACAATTAATCAGTAGAACAACCTGCCTCCAGAAGCAGTAAATGCTCCAACACTGGAAGTTTTTAAGAAGAGACTGGACAGCCATTTGTCCAAAATGGTGTAGATTTTTCTGCCTGAGCAGGGGGTTGGACTAGATGACCTCCAAGGTCCCTTCCAACCTTACTACTATTACTATTTATTATTATTACTAAGTTCAAACAATTGTGGTTTCCAAACCGTCTCAAAGGACAGTTTCATGTAAAGCACTTGCAGTGTGGGAACTTTCTGCAACATGCCTCTCTTATGCCATACACCCTTCCCTCGTGAGTGACCATGTCCCTTAAAAAGAGTCTGGTTAGAGACAGAGATGTATATCAAAGAATAACTCCCCAGAAATGAAAGTTAAAACAGCAACTTCCATTCTGGCCACAGGCATTCAGTCATGAAAAGTGGTGAGCAGAAGAATCTACAGCACTTCTTCTGTTGAACCACATTCTTACTAGCATAGGAGATAGAATTAGACTTTTGCACCCTCAGTCTAGCTAAGAAATAAAAAAGTTGAAATGAAGATTTTTTTTTCCTTTTTCATGTGGTTACAGTTTCTTGACCTAACCTGCCCAAAGACACATGCCAAAAAGCAAATGGTACCAAGCAAGCATCACAAACAAATAAAACCTAAAACAAACCTGCAGGAAAGTAACTTAACAGTTACCAATGCAGCAAAAGGATTAGGAGTGGTAGATGAAGGCCAAGCAACATGGATGGGATGAGTTTTTCAGATGAATCCTACTTTCACTGCAGTAAAACAAAGCTGGCCTTTTAAGGGAAAAAATAGCGATGCAAATTCAGACTATGAAGTTCTTTAGTTGGGATTTGGTTGTACTGGCTGACCCAGGTCTAGAAGAGACATTTTCCAGGAGTTGGCTTTCTGATTTACTGTCCCTTCTCTCTTTGGGGCTGAAGATTCCAGGAGCAGTGGCATCCTCCCTTGAGAGAGAGAGACAGAGAGACAGAGAGACAGAGAGACAGAGAGAGACAGAGAGAGAGACAGAGAGAGACAGAGAGAGACAGAGAGAGAGAGAGAGGAAAAGAAAGAAAGAAAGAAAGAAAAAGAGAAAGAAAGGAAGGAAAGAAAGAAAGAGAGTGAGCGAGAGAGAGAGAGAAAGAAAGAAAGAAAGAAAGAAAGAAAGAAAGAAAGAAAGAAAGAAAGAGAAAGAGAGAGAAAGGAAGGAAGGAAGTAAAGAAAGAAAGAAAGAAAGAAAGAAAGAAAGAAAGAAAGAAAGAAAGAAAGAAAGAAAAGATTAGTTGACATCCAGAACTTTAGGTTTTAATCTTACAAGAGGCTCTGACTTTCAACAGTTTTTAAGAGATATGATTAGCTTTAAATATTGGTTGGCTTCCAACTCTTTAGGATCCATAGTTCATCTGGGATAGCTATACGCCATTCCCCATACTTCCTACTGATCTGCTGATATAAATATTCTTCACAGGTACTACCACCACTCCTTATCTGAAGAAACGGACAAAAAATATTCATTGTTGCCCAAAGCAGAGCATAAGCACTGGTATTTCATCCCACGTACCAAAGATAAAGTTAAAGGCTGCTTTAAATCAAATATTAGGAAGATGCACAATCCAGCTCTGGATTGCCTCGTTCAGATTTATTTAAAGCTATGTCGATTTTAGGTTTTCAAGATCTATTTGTTTTGTTTTTTTCCTATTAACCAGTTAGCTCCATCTATTGAAGGCTAGCACCAGGAAAGCAGACATGGCATGATAGAATGATCTGAGTTGCAGTACATGAACAGATGGGAGGTTATTTTTCATGCACACTTCTCACAAATTGAAGGAACTGCCAAATGATGGGTTTCCATAGCGTCAAAATTAAAGCTATCATGCAAAAGCTTTATCTTTGTCTTCTCTTCACAGACTTACTCTAGGGGAAAAATGATGGAGGAAAGACAGGTGAATTTGTGGCAGGTTTTGCAATAACACTCTGTTATCCTCGAGTGGAACAAATTGTATTTATTGCCCTACCAAAACATTGTTCGATTTTCCTTTGGCGATTCAACTGATTAGTGCCTAGGTGGGAATCTATCAAGCTAGGAAGTTGAAGAAACTTCCTGTGGCCAGCAACAGCAAACCCACTTTCAATCTATCCCTAAGAAATGGTCCATGGGCATTCCATGGAGTCATCAGGAGTTGAGTTTGGCTCCAAAGGCATGTTGCATTTAGGATTAAGAGGAATGAAGTTGTGTTGTTGTTTTTATCCCCTGGGTTAAACTGACAGGAGTCAGAAAACCTCCTAATGGGCTAAATACTACCAAGAGGTGTACAGCATATCCAGAACTACCTACTGCCAGCTGCATGACTCATTCATTGAAAATCCCAATCAAAATGGTTAATAAAAAAGCTTTTAGAGGTGGGAGGAATAAGGATGAAAGGGATTATTAATTGCCTTGCTTATGTGCAGCTAATCAATGTTGCTTTCCTTTAGGAATCAATAGACCAGGGGTGTCAAATTCAATTTCATTGAGGGCTGCATCAGCATTGCGGTTGCCCTTGGGGGGCTGGGTGGGTGTGGCCAAGGTGGGTGCAGCCTACTGGGTGGACGTGGATGGAGTGGGTGTGGCCTACTGGGTGGGCATGGCCACTTCTACATCGTTCGCGTCAAGGGTGCCTGTGGGGGCCTGGCCAGGAGTGGGATAGATCTGTGGGTCTCTGGCAGAAAGGGGTGGGACTGGGGCAAGCGCCAAGGCATGGTCCATTTCTTCATTCCTCACAAAGGGTGACACCTCCCCAGCATGCACCGAGAGGGTGGGGCCAACACAGCAGGGGCTGGTTCCTCGCTGTTTCTAGACGACCTTGTGGAGCTAAGAATGAATGCGTTTCAGCATAGATGGCCACCACAAAATTGTACATTGGCTCCTGGCCATTCTCTCACTGTTTCCAGGATAGCTTCATGGGCCACATGAAACCACTTCACGGGCCACATCCGGCCCCTGGGCTTTGTGTTTGACATGTCTGCAATAGACGAAGTGGCTGCTTTTAAAAAAAAAATCACAAAAAGGGAAACTTCCTTTCATTCATTTCCCCAATGAATTCCGTGTAAGGTTACCAAAGCACGTCTTGAATTAAAGCTTGAACTATTTTTGTGGAATAAGAAGGAAGAAAATTCTATTCTCTTGTCTTCTGGAAATCACACCCTTCAACCCAGTGGCCGAGTGCACTTGGCCACATGCATTTTCCCAGCTGCCTTGAGGACTCTTGGACTGAAAGTAAAGTAAGCAGAATAAAAACGGATAAATAGAAAAGAGTAAAGCCAAGGTGACTTGGGCAGCAGTTCTCACCTTATTTCATTTCCACTGTATTCAGACTGAGGCTTCTCCTTAGCCATCTTTTTTCTCCTGTGCTGCAAGACGTAGAGGACAATGGCTCCAAGCAGGAATAGGGCTAAGATGGCCCCAATAAGAGCTCCTGCAACGGCCCCAGCTTTTGAAATACCTACTTGTCAAAACACAGAAGACAAATCACCCGTTAGGCTCAGACTCTGAAAGTCTAACAAGGAGATGAAAAAGGTTGTAGAAGGTGCAAAAAAGTTGGCATTTTGCAAGCTTTTTTTTTCTTTAATGCAGTTGCAGAAAGGTGGGAATTCAAAGGAGGTTAAGTAACTTTCCATAAACCATATTCTATTTCCTGGGAGGGAGGGAGGGAGGGAGGGAGGGAGGGAGGGAGGGAGGGAGGGAGAGGGAGGGAAGAAAGAAGGAGGGAAGGAAGGAAGGAAGGAAGGAAGGAAGGAAGGAAGGAAGGAAGGAAGGAAGGAAGGAAGGAAGGAAGGAAGGAAGGAAGGAAATGTAGCTATCACATTCGGTCAAGCACAGTTCATTAGCTTTACAGAAAGCTTTTCTCATCAATTGATTTTTGAAAGGAAAGAGATGAACTGATTTTGTCCTGTATCCAAATACAGCACTAATTTTACCTGCCTGAGACAAAACATTGCATCTTAGGACATGGATAAACATCACAATACCAGGGAAGATCTTGTGGGGTTCTGCTCTATCTACCATTGTTACAGAAGGGAAGGGAAGGGAAGGGAAGGGAAGGGAAGATGGAAGAGAAAGGAAGATGGAAGAAAAAGGAAGGGGAGAAGGAGGGGGAGGGAAGGGGGCCGGGAAGGGAAGGGGAAAGGAAGGAAGGAAAGATGGAAGGGAAGGGAAGATAGAAGGGAAGGGAAGATGGAAGGGAAGGGTAGAGAAGGGAAGGAAGAGAGGAGGACTATAGTTGAATTAGAAAAAAAAATCTTAACAATAAGAGAACTTCAAGCAGAGAATAATGACTAAGAGAGCTTCTTTGCATTAGCTTTCTGGCTCTTCTTCCATGCTTTAGACTGAGATATTACAGGTTCTATTGCAAGAATGAGCATTTGTTATACCCAGCCTTGGTTCATGCATTTATTGTGACTGGTTTACACTGGTCCAGGGGTAGACAACCTCAGCTCTTTTATGACTCATGGACTTCAACTCCCAGAATCAGCTATGCTGACTCAGGAATTCTGGGAGTTGAAGTCCATGACTCATAAAAGAGCCAAGGTTGCCTACCCCTGCACTGGTCCATTTTGTATTTATTTTTGATTTCATTGTTGTTTTTTTTAACAATGTATGCCACCCAGTGTCACCACTGGTTAGTGGGGGGGGGTAACTTTATAAATTCCATAAACAAATCAACCAACAGATTTCAATGCATCAAAAACAACTGTGGAGACCCAATTTTTACTCTCGTGTGATTTGGAGTTGAGCTACCTGTTTTTAAAGAAAACTGTGGAATAAGAAATGTTGGCTACTCCTATCTTATTACAGTCCATCTAATGTTTTATTATATGAATGTTTTGTTGTTGTTGTTGTTCTGCACCTGGTAGTAGATAGTTTCATATGGCAATTTCAACCTCCACCACTCACTTTAAATCTCACCAAAGGCCCATAAACTTGGTCTTCATACAGAGAAATCTGAATTTTTAAATATTCTCACATAGTAAGTTTTGTCTGTGTCTATTTTAGGAGCTGTTCTCTATTTTTCCCACTTCTACTAAAACTCTCTTTCTTATATATTCCCCACCATATGATATCGGTATAGATGCTTAAAATATTGCTTCACACCATATGGCGTTTCTAAACTGCTTCGCTTTTATACACCATTCATCTTCAGAAATGTATTTGGAACAGGAGCAAATAAAGATCTCACTTTCTCAACTTCCCATAGCTTTTCCTCTGCCATATTCTAACAGAAGTGGGATTTATTTTTATTGAGAAAATGTATACCTCACTTTTCTGCTCATATAAGAACTCAAGGTGACTTACAAGAATCACACAGCATGCAGAGTTTAAAAACATGCCAGGAAAGAGAATACAAAATAACAGAGTTGGAAAGGATCTTGGAGGTCATCAAGTCCAGCCCTCTGCTCAAGCAGGAGACCCTATGCCATTTCACACAAGTGGCTGTCCAGTCTCTTCTTAAAAACCTCCACGATGGACATCACCCTGCCAACAAAAGTACAGTTGCAATGTATGGCTGTGAAAGGTTGGACCATAAGAAAGGCTGAGTGCCAAAGAATTGAGGCTTTTGAACTCTGGTGCTGAAGAAGACTCCTGCGAGTCCCCTGGACTGCAAGGCGATCAAACCAGTCAGTCCTAGAGGAGATCAACCCTGACTGCTCTTCAGAAGGCCAGATCCTGAAGCTGAAACTCAAGTACTTTGGCCACCTAATGAGAAGGAAGGACTCACTGGAGAAGAGTCTAATGCTGGGAAAAATTGAGGGCAATAGAAGAAGGAGACGACAGAGAATGAGATGGCTGGATGGAGTCACTGAAGCAGTAGGCGTGAGCTTAAAGGGACTCCAGAAGATGTAGAGGACAGGAAGGCCCGGAGGAATGTTGTCCATGGGGTCACGATGGGTCAGACATGACTTTGCAACTAACAACAACATGATGGAGCATCCACAACTTCTGAAAACAAGTGGTTACACTGGTTATTTGTTCTCACTGTCAGGAAATTTCTTCTCAGTTCTAGGTTGGTTTTTCCTTGATTAGTTTCCATCCATTGCTTCTTGTCCTGCCTTCAGGAGCTTTGGAGAGTAGGTTGACAATTTTGAACATCTTCTAGTCCAACTCCCTTCTCATCCAGGAAAACCTACACCAGTGATGACGAACCTTTTAGAGACCGAGTGCCCAAACTGCAACCCAAAACTCACTTATTTATCACCAGGTGCCAGGTGGGCGTGACCCATGGTGGGCGTGGCTGCAGTCATGGCAGACTGGATGGGTGTGGCCAATGTGGGCGTGGTCACCTCGATGTTGCTCAGGAGGGATGCCTGTGAGGGCCGGGCAGGGTTGGGGGAGATCCAGGGGGTCTCTGGCAGGTGGGGCGGTGGGCAGGAGGCTCATCCTGCGGGGTGAGGTGAGGCAAGGTGAGGCATGGCGGGGGCACCATTGTCGCAGGGCAAGGCGAGGCAGGGGCCGGGGCAGCTGCTGCCTGATGCCATCAGCCCCCACACACAGAGGCCAGCAAGCTCAGGGGGGGGGCGACAGTGCCCGTCAGCCACCACAGGTTGCCGGCCCCTTGACAGGTCCATGATGAAACTTGGAGTCCTTGGGAAGTCACTGATGTCCCATTGATTTATATTGTTGTGCTGCTGGTCATCTCTTCCTCCTGTTCACTCTTTATGGCTGGTTGATTGCGTAAGTCTCAAGTTTGGAATACATAGTCCGTGACTTATGACTACAATTGGGCCCAGAATCTCTATTGCTAAGCAAGGCAGTTGTTGACTGAGTTGCACCTGAATTTATAATCTTTTTTGCTTAGGTTGTTAAGCAAATCATTGCAGCTGCCAAGTAAATTGGAGGCCCCAACCTTTTGGGCACCAGGGACCGGTTACGTGGAGAGAGGATTTTCCATGGAATGGAGGAGCATGGTTTTGTGTGCTGCCTGCATCTCCCAAATGGGGCTTTGCTTGTTTGTGCAGACTGGTTGCTGATATGCCAGTCCATGGATCGGGGGCTGGGGACCCCAAAGTAAATCATGCAGTTGTTAAGTAAATCCAGCTTCCCATAGACTTTGCTTGTCAGAAGCTGGCTGGGAAGATTACAAATGGTAATCATGTGGTCCCAGAATGCCGCAACCATCACTTGCCAAGCACCCAAATTAGGATCCCCTGACCAGGGTTATGTCATGATGGTTGTAGGTGAAGGATTGGCTGTAACTCACTTTTTCAGGACTGTTGTAACTTTGAACAGTCGCGAAATGAATGGTTTGTCAATTCTACTTTTACCTAAACGAATATCTCCTGAGCGTGATTTAAGTCAAGATTGAAGAGATTAAGATCCATCTGATGTGATTAAGGAGATGTGAGAATACATTCTAAACCTAAAGATAATAGCAGAAGGCAGGGTTGCATTTCATGTGTGTGTGTGTGTGTGTTTGTGTGAACATGTGCAGATATGTGTCTTCATCCTTTCCCTCTGCTAGTTCCCAATTTAAGCAACCTCCCACCAGAGTTGTCATTACTCTACAAACTTGAAATCGTGTTGTCAGGAGCCAAGGTGAAATACTTCTTTTCTCTCCCCGAGAAGAAAAGCTATAATTATATACTCTAATTTAACTTTACGCTCTCATATCATCAGAGAATTCTGCCCCCCCTTACTTTATCCCTCGGGATTCTTCCAAGTCCTAAAACACACCTTTGAAAAACAAACTGTAACATAGATCTCAGCTTGAAATGCATACTTGGTTTTCCTATCGCTTTCTCCATCACATCTCCCTCTCTTCTGCAAGCCTCCCAGCCATTTTGCCCTGCTTCTAATTTCTCCTTCCAGTTGATGTTCAGCAAAAAAACAAGGCTTGCGAGTGGGAGAGCTGTCCACGGAAGTGAGAGCTAATTAATGAAAGGAACTGACCTGAGTAGGAGGCAAATTAAAAAAAAAGGGGGGGGATATGAGTTGTTCAGGCAGAATTGGAAAGTTGAAATAGTCCACAAATTACTTAATGGCGATCAAGGAACTGAACGTGAATGGACAATGATTTAATTCCAGAATATTTTTTGGCATTAGAAAAAAACCAACAATAGTCCTTCTTCTTCTTCTTCTTCTTCTTCTTCTTCTTCTTCTTCTTCTTCTTCTTCTTCTTCTTCTTCTTCTTCTTCTTCTTCTTCTTCTTCTTCTTCTCTTCTTCTTCTTCTTCTTATTCTTCTTCTTCTTCTTCTTCTTCTTCTTCTTCTTCTTCTTCTTCTTCTTCTTCTTCTTCTTCTTCTTCTTCCTCCTCCTCCTCCTCCTCCTCCTCCTCCTCCTCCTCCTTGAATCACTGCTTCTTCAGTGAATTGCTACAGTTGTTAAGTTAGTACCATGGTTGTTAAGTGAATCTGGCTTTCCCATTGCAACCATCATAAATATGAGTCAGTTGCCAAGCTTTGATCACGTGACCATGGGGAAGCTGCAACGGGCATGTGAAAAATAGACACGTCCCCTTTTTCCGTGCCGTTGTAACTTCAAACAGTCACTGAATGAACTGTTGTGAGTTGTGGACCACCTGTACTGCAATATCCAACCTCTAGAGCGAGAAGAGATGGAGCACAGAGAGGTATCCAATCCATTGGGAACAAAGCAGTTCTTTCCTAGGTGATCTTGGAAAGGGAAGGTGATGGAAACTGCAAACTATTTTTTTTTAAAGGAAAAGCAAATCTTCATTTTAAAAAAGGGGCTTTGAACAAATCCCATTTTAACTGGGAGACACACTAACCGGTGTGTTTGGGTGGGTCAGGTCTGGGTCAGGTTTGGGTGGGTCAGGTTTGGGTGGGTCAGGTCTGCCATCTTCCACGGGCGCCTGGCTGGCCTCCTGCCATCAAAGGCAAAGATGGGCAGAAGGGCAAGGGGAGAGCAAGGAACGGAACAAATGGGCAATACACCTGTATGGGGAATGGATGGGAAATAGGGAGGGGGAGGGATGACAGTCTGATGAAGACCAGGGAAGCATGAAAGGAGTTGCTGCCAGCTCTCAGAGCCACACAGCCTGAGATTGAAATGTGGATTATCCCAAACATCTCAGCCTTCTATGTGGCTCTTCATCGGCTGAAGATGGACGGGTCATGGGGGGGAGGGCTGGGATGAGGGGAAAAGTTGTAACCTTTTTCATGCGGGAAATTTAGTTCTAGCCTGACTTTGCCGTAAGCAGTATCCTTTAGTCAAAGAACCAAATGGAGTTGAAGATCTTTCTTTCCTAAGGGACCTAACTGGAGCAGGTCTGACATTCTGCTACATCTGAAGGGGTCTAACCTGTTTATGGGGGTCATTTCATGCAGTGGTTGAAACCCAATGATAAACATTTTTCTTGTCGTGAAGGGGAGAGGGAAGAAAGATACAGGTTTGAAAAATGTTCTGTGACAGTTTGCCAAAAGAAAGCTAGTACGCTGAAGATCAGTAAAATCTTATCCTTGCTGGGTTGTTTCCTCTTGGAATATTTAAAGACGTCACCATCTTTCTTACAGCCTTCACTGCGGCCTGCTTTGCATGAAAAGTTTTACCATTTATCTCTTTTACCAAAAGTCTAAATGAGACCAAGAAAATCTGGGACAGGAGGGAGAGGGGCAGGTCAAATGGTGCCCTGGACAGAAAACCATGGATGCTGGCACAAAAGCCCACCGCGATCCTTTTCCCACCTGATTTCATCTGATTTTCAAGATTCTAAAAAATAATAATGGAGATCTTGGATGAAGCAAAGACAATTTCCAGTTTTTAACATTTATAAGAATGCCTCTGGACCCACCTGAATGTCTCCAGAAGATTCTTAGAAAATCAAAACAGTAATGTTCGCTCAGCATGTGGCTGGCACGATGCCCATGTGCCCAGAAAGTCTGAGCAAAAAAAAGCATAAATAGTGTAAACAGCATCACTAGATGGCACTATATACTCGTAGAGATTTGCTGGGACAGTGGGAATCTGTGCAAATCGAGAAATCTAGTCAAGTTTTAATGGATAGGACCAAAAAAACCAGGACCTCTTTTAAAGAATGGGAAGTGGCAATCTAACAGGTCCAAGACGTAGTAAAATGAGCTCAGAATTCGATCCTTATTAGCCAACACCTAACAGAATGGCATCACTGTCCAAAATCTGGGGGGGAAATTCCAAATCTTTTATGACAAGCTGAAGTTAGCTGTTTACTTGCTACTTCCATTCACACAATTTTCCTAACCCAGTTACTAAACTAACCCATTTGTAATTTACAGTGAATCATTCACAAAACATACCTAGTATAAGCCACTAGAACAAAGCCAAGGTTAAAAACTATTCAGACTTAATAAGATATGCACGTACCTGCCTACTAAGTTTCTAAATGAGTTGGTTAAGAATCTTGCATGAAAAGATACCATTATCAGGTATTCAGAAAGATTAACAAAAAGAGTCCCTTGGTCTACTGACAAGTCCTCACCTGTCACATGGAGAGAGATTTGGCAGCTATGGTGTCCAAACTCATTGGTAGCAGTGCAGCTGTAGGTACCAGACAACTGAAGTGTGAGGTTGGTCAATAGGAGAGTTCCCTTTTCTTGGTCTGGGGAAAGAAATCAAAATTGAATAAGAAAGTAACTCCCAATTGAATACCTGTGGCTCAGGATTGAACTGTGGAATCCTTGGTGCTTTCTGAGCTTGGTTGTTTGTTTGCAGATATTTCATTACCTGACTAGGTAACAACATCAGTGCTAGTGAGTGTGGGGTTTGCTGATTGTTTATATACAGTACAGTAGCTTACCCTGCCAGGGGGTTTGAATGCCAAGCTTCTAGGAATTCCTTAGTCTTCTTTGATTTGGCTTAGTCTAGGAAAGCCAGGTTTCCCAATTGAAATTACGGTTCAGTCTGTCCATGTATTATGAGGATTGTAAGTTTTCCTTGGGGCTACTTGGTCTTTTGGTTTACTTAAGACGTTTACCTACGGTAATGTGCTTAACAAAAGTCCCAGTAGCCCAAGAAGAAAAAACATACAGTGTAAGGACTGTAACAGACACTAGGTAGGATAGGCAGGCAGAAGACATTCATGAACACCAACTTACAGTCAGAAGACATGACAAAATAAGGGGGGAAAGTTGTTATTCCAGGCCAGTCTTCGTTGAGAATGTCCTTCAGTATTTTGAGAAGATCAATTTGAAAGTAGAACTAGAAGAACAGCTTTCTCCAGCCTTACATTGGAACTACACACCCAGAGACTGCAACATTCTGAAATTATTCCATATTTTGACCTTCCTCTTGTAGAATTTCCTCCTTAATAACATTATGGAGGAGATCACTATATTAAGAAAGTGATTACAGGGAACATGATTCCATAAGATTCTTCTGTAATTGAACACATCTGCTTCCACATTGTCTACTGTTTTGGAAGCTGCTTTTGATCAAACACCTGGAACTTCCTTAAAATGGTTATCATCAATCAAGGTGATATGTGGGACTACAGAGTATCTGATACCTATTCAGAAGACTATTTATATTAATCTAGAGGTTAATATTTATTAAACACAAAACAAGTCCACTGTTAGTCCAACTGTAGCCTGCTGCAATTATACCAGTATACTTGGTTTAAAATCATCCATCCATCCATCCATCCATCCATCCATCCATCCACCCATCCATTCATCCACCCACCCTACTCTCTGCTTTGGCATGTCCTTTACCAAGAAAGACTGCCCTTCACCTACTTTGCACCATGTTGGAGGTAGGAAGTGGCTGTTTAGAATCCAGCAGAGTCCAAGAATAAATTGGGGAGGGCACACCTTCAGAAGAACTGCAGGAGAAGCTGACATCTGATCCAATAGGTGCGGAGGTGGACCCTTTACAGACTGGTGTGGATGGTGGCACTGATAAGAAAGGAGGAATTCAATACCAGGAACTTAAGGAAGTTAAAATATGTGGGTGATATAGATCAGTGTTTCTCAACCTTGACAATTTTAAGGCATGTGGACTTCAACTCCCAGAATTCCACAGCCAGCATTGCTGGTTGTGGAATTCTGGGAGTTGAAGTCCACATGCCTTAAAATTGTCAAGGTTGAGAAACACTGATATAGATAGATCTTTTGCCACTAAGACTGAGAAGTTTGACTCACCCCCCTCTTTAAATCTGGCACCCTCCAGAACAGGGGTTGGCAACCCATGGCTCCCCAGCCACATGTGGCTCTTTCATCCCCCTGCTGTGGCTCTCTGTCACTCAAAATATGCATCACAACTGCCAATGTGTGACACCTGCTGGCATGAGATTGATTGTGCTTTTCCACCTCTGGTAAGCCAACCATGGATAAATCCAAGAAAATAAAAATTTGAGAAGAAAACAGAACACGTAATGCTACGTGGGCAGATTCATTTCCTTTCACTACTAATTGAATTTAATTAAGTTCGGCTTTTTATGTCATAAATACGAGGAGGACTCAAATAGACATTGAGTATTTTATTTGAAAATAACCTTCGACCCAGCGTCTTTTTTTCGGAGTTCAAAATGTTTTTGTTGCATGCAGAAATTTAAAATTTGTTTTCTCTGTAGCAGTTCATTGATTTCATAAATGCAACATACTATAGTTTTTTTATACATAGCATAAAGGTAAAAAAAACAAAACGATATGTGCAGTGTTATCTTCATTTTAGATGTCAAAAGGGTTTTGTGGCTCCCGATGTTTTTTTTGTGGAAAACAGGTCCAAATGGCTCTTTGAGTGTTTAAGGTTGCCGACTCCTGCTCTACATTTAGTCACTATCTGCTTGGTGGACATGAAAAAATGCTAAATATTTTGAATACAAAATACATACACTGCTAGAGAAGGTTGTAAAATTAGGATTCAATTGAAGCCTTTTTTCTTTTTCTTCCCCCCCCCCTTTTCCCCTTTTTTTGGTTTCACATTTACTAGTTTTTTCTTTGAATCCATTTCTTATTGCATATGTAAAATCTTTAAATTAAAAAAATACTACTTAAAAATAGCACTACCGAAAACCATCATCTTTATCTTTGATCAGTAGGCTCATTCAGCCTTGCCTGACCTGGTGGCCTTGTCTGTGACATGGCTGACATTCCTCTCCTTCTCAGTTGCCATGGATATTCAATATTCCCCAGTAAGCTGACTTCCACATCTTTTGGAAGATCATACTCATAGTCCCTAACTAACAAAGCCATATAGAACTGCCCGTTCCAGAGCTTTCTAATGCCTGTGGGACTCTAACCCCCATCACCCCCCCGCCAGCAGGTGAAAATGTCTATCTCCTACAAATAAAGGCATTTGTCAAACAACTTTGACAGATGCATTTATTTATGAAATTCAGGGTAAGATGTTTTGGGTAATGATCAAAACGATTTGTACCTGCCTGCAACTCAAGCCGAGGATTTTAATCTCGGTCCATTTTATGCAATAAGTTAAAGAGCTAGAATTGTGTGTATGCCAACCAATTCAATATTTTTTTTTTAAAAAAAGGACTTACTTAAAACTACAAGTTTCACAAGCCCGGTACCAGTGCCATAGAAATCTGGGGGGTTGTTTACTTCGCAGATGTAAGTGCCAGCATCCGATGGATGGAGATTGTTCAGCTGGATGGAAGCATCTCCCAGCGTGGGAGGATTGTGAAGGAGGCTGAGCCGGTCAGCTTGCCCACCTGGTTTGTAGAGCTCATTATTTGCAAAATACAGAATCTGAAATGAGATGGGAGGGTTACCTGCACGAAAGAAGGAACCTGTACAAAGACTCAGAACAGGCACTCCTCGGTTTACAACAGTTCATTTAGTCCCTGAAAAAAGTAACTTATGACCCCTTTTCACTGTTATGAACGTTCTACCATCCCCATGGTCATGTGACCAAAGTTCATTTGCTTGGCAAACTGGTTCATATTTATGACCATCGCTGTGTCCCATGGTCATGTGATTCCTTTGGCGACCGTCTGACAAGCAAAATCAATGGGGAAGCCAGATAACAATTGGGTTATTAACTTATCAACTGTATTGATTCACTGAACAACTGTAGCAAGAAAGGTCATAAAATGGGGCAAAATTTACTTAACAATTGTCTCCCTTAACAACGGAAATTTGGGCTCAATTGTAGTCGTGAAAGTGGTAAATAAATCCGAGGACCAGGAGAAAATCATAAACAAAACTGTTTAATCTACAAAAGTACTGAGGCCAAACTACCGACATTGTCAGACGACATTGTCAGAGTATAAAGCACTGGATCCGGGAGTTCGTTTATATAACTGGCTGCCTCTGCGCCCTAGCCCTCGACCTGGTCATTGGTCTGCTCATTAATACTGGAGGTATTGTTCTTAAATTGTACTCATCAGTGTGTTGTCAGTTTTCAAAGTTGGCCGATGAAAGCTCAGTACCTTTGTTTTGTTTATGATTTTATCCTGGTGCTCAGATTTATTTACCATTTTCACGACATGTGTATACCTGGGATTCGTGTTTTTAATATAATTAAGGATACACACACACACACATACACACACACACACATACACACACACAGTGCCAACATCCATTGTTCTCTTTTCATAAAATTTCTTCCGCTGCGGAAGAGGATGAATGAAGATTTGTACCTTATCTGCAAAATGTTCTGAGTATTTTTTTTAAAAAATGTGATGTATCAGAACAGATTTCATAATTGCAGATCTGGAGAGAACTGGGAAGTTTTATTCCATATTTTTCCAACACTCTGAAGCCATCCTAGTTATTCAAATTTCCCAACCTGAAAAATCCCCATGAGATTCAGGACTGGGGTGGGTCAATTTTAGATTGATTTGGGGGGGGGGAGGAGGCATCTGATAGAGCAAAATAATAGTGATCAACCTTTCCCCATTGGCAGTTTTTTCCTCTTGAATTTCCATGGCACAATTTTGTTCCATTTTCCAGAAGGCTGGGGAAGAGTTAAGGGTGGGAACAAGAGAGTTTCCACTCCCATCCCTTCCTTTTTTAAATTTCCAGATCCCACTGATGAAATGTAATTATCTTGCTGCCCAATTTTGGCAGCTGATTTCTGAAAGTGCTTGGAGAGCTCCAAAGATAGTGATGGAGCTGAAGATGAAGTGGCTGAGAGTGTAAGTAGCCCACTATTTCTTTAGCATGTTCTCACCCTAGTTTTTTAATGGAAAGGAACTCCTGATCTTCAAGAAACCTAGAATATTTTAACCAATTAATTGATTGGGAGTGAGGATAAGAGAAGTAAAATCTGGTGGTGCAGTGGTTAGAATGCAGCATTGCAAGTAAACTCTGCCCATTGCCAGGAGTTCGATCATGACTGGCTCAAGGTTGACTCAGCCTTCCATCCTTCGGAGGTCGGTAAAATGAAGACCCAGATTGTTGGCAGCAATATGCTGACACTGTAAACCACTTAGAGAGATCTGTAAAGCACTGTGAAGCGATATATAAGTCTAAGTGCTATTGCTACTGATATTTCTGCTTCTCTGTTTTGGATCTTTTGCATCACTCTCCCATCCCCAATGATTCAGAGGCCACACGGAGTCTTGATTTTATACTGATACTAATTTTAGAAGCAAAATTCAAGTTAAATGCTGTGGATTTATAGTTACTTCCCTTTTTCTTCCTAATCCTCAATGACAATACTGGAAAAGTGTATCCCTATATGGTTTCTTCACCCTCTGTTTTTCCTGCCTGCTCCTGCCTTGCTCTCTTTCACCTGTGATCCAGCATCAGGAGCCGTTGAGCCACCAGCAAACCTCCATTCCAAAACAAAGTTTTTGCCAACCGATGTTTTATAGTGACAAGGAATTTTCACGTTTGAACCTTTCTGCTGCATCACGGGATCATGTGGCACAGTCACTTCCACACAGCCCCCATAGTCTATGAGGGGAATGGAAAAGAAATGTTTAGAACATAGAATAATAGGGATGGAAAGGAACTTGGTGGTCTTCTAGTCCAACTCCCTGCTCAAGCAGGAGATCCTACACCGTTGGACAAATGGCTGTCTGGTCTCTTCTTAAAAACCTCCAGTGACGGGTCACCCACAACTTCTGGAGGCAAACTGTTCTCACTGACAGGAAATTTCTCCTTAATTCTAGGTTGGATCTGTCTTTAACAAGCTTCCACTTATGACTTCTTGTCCTGCCCTCAGGCACTTTGGAGAATAAATTGAGCCCCTTTTCTCTGTGAGAGACCCTCATGAAATACTACCCGATTATCCCTAGTCTTTCTCTTCCTTGGACTAGAGCAGGAGTAGGCAACCTTGGCTCTTTTATGACTCATGGACTTCAACTTCCAGAATTCCTGAGCCAGCATGGCTCAGCTTGGAAACATCTCCCTTTCCCCTCAACATGGCTGGCTCAGGAATTCTGGGAGTTGAAGTCCACGAATCATAAAAGAGCCAAGGTTGCCTACCCCTGGACTAGACATATGTTTGTTTGGACCTTGAATTAGGGCCTCTTTCTCTCTTAAGGTGCCAGTTTCAAGAAATGACCCAGTACAGTTTCCTAATGGCTTGATCTTATCTCCCTATATTAGCCTGCAATTTCTTAAAATGTCCACCGCATCTAATGGCACAGTTCTGATTCTAAATGACACTAACAAACAACTCTTCAGGGCTTGTTGGCAGATCCAGATTCCTCTTGATTCCATCCTTTTGGGAAATCAAACTGACCCAGTTTAGCTCCAATTTGATTTTTTAAAATCAATTTGGAGAGAATCAACCAACCAACCAACTGAGATATGAACAAACCACAAAAACCATCCAAACCATCAAATCTATTTAAGGACTTCCAATTTGATTCAACACTCTGATTCTTTTTTCTGACTCAGAACAAGGATTTTGCTAAACAACCATGGGAAAACAAGTCATAAAATCAAGTTGGGTCCTGCAGTGAACCACTTAATGACTGAAATGACCTATGCTGGAAATTCCAGGCTGAGTTGTGGTTGAGCCTGTGCAACTACTATTAATATCAGTCGAAATAGAATGATTGGTGCGCCTCAAATGTTTGGCTATTTCATTGCAGTGTTTAATGCACTTTAAAAAGTGTTAATGACGGTTCTATCACCGGGCAAAAAGCATAAACATAAGGCTACTTTTGCCTCCAAAAGTGAGGAAAAACCCTGTCAGGCTTAGTAAAATCAAATAGTACTTGAAGATTGTACGTTCAACCTCCAAGGGGACAATTCCTTCAAGAGCAAGTCTAGGGCTACAAGATCTGGAATGAAAACCCACTGGATGATCTAAGTTCCGGCTTTCTGTGTTTCTTCGCCATTGTGATCATCTGGATTGTTGCAGCCCAGATCCCCTCCTTCTAAGGAGCAGAAGAGATGCCACTTCACTAATAACTTCCTTTTCCCTCCCCATTCCCTTTTCCTTTAGTGTCATGTCTGTCATTCTGGGCAAAAAAAACAACAACAGTCTTATCTTTTTATATTTTATATTGAATTGCCCATAAAATAAGGCACTTTATGATCGTAGCATTATGGTACAATAATAAACAATAAACTCTAATTTTAAATCTAAGGTACTTACTAAAAGACCAAAGGAAGAGCAGAGAGCAGGAAAGTCGACAACTCCAAAAGACCACGTTGGGGTCCATTTCTCAGGAAAAATAACAAGACTACGACTTTCCTGGGAGAATTGAAACTCGACTGAAACCAGGTAGAACTGTTCTTTATCTTGCAGGGAAGTGAGAGCAAACAATTATGGCCAGGCTGAATCATGCTACAGCACAAAGCTGCTTGTGATATGGAAGGTTAACCCGGTGTGCCTTCTCATACCTTGCACACACTGCTACTCAAAATTGGTTCTCACAACTAGCATTATCACTCTTGTGCCTTCCTTATTTGGTATCTATATTTCAAAAGCCAAACGCCAATAATGTCTTGGTCTTTGTCCTGGGGCTTTTCCAATGCGGGATAATAAGGAACTGCATCGTTTTGCATTTTAATTTGCTTTGCATTTGGATTTGAACCATGGTGGTGCAGTGGTTAGCATGCAGTATTGCAGGATAATTCTGCTGACTGCCAGCAGTTCGATTCTGAATGTCTCAAAGTTGACTTAGCCTTCCATCCTTCTGAGGTTGGTAAAATGAGGACCCAGATTATTGGGGACAATAGCCTGACTCTGTAAACTGCTTAGAGAAGATATAAAGCACTGTGAAGCAGTATATAAGTCTAAGTGCTATTGCTGTTTGTGTGTTTAAAGACTATATGACAGGGGGCCAGGTTATCTTTCCCTAAGGACATCTACCTGTCCTACTGGGTCAGATAGGGTGGGCACACACTCCTAGTTCCATCTGCTAAATATTGTCATTGGATAGGAGCTAGGAAGTGTGACTTTTCTGTGGCCTTTTCCATGGCAGCCCCTGCCCTATGAAACAAGCTGTCCCCTGAAATTCAACCAGCCTCCACCCTTTTAACCTTCTGTAAGGCTTTGAAGATCTGACTCCCCCCCCCCAAGCACTGGGAGAAGACTAGATAATTGCACATTAGAACTTTGATTGGCACCGAGTTTTCATTTGTACGTGTTTGGTTTGAATAGTTCTAATGTGTTTTTATGCAATTTTAATTTTGGATTGAGAGCCATCCAGAGTATGTTATAAGATGGTCAGATAAACCTGTATGAAGTGCAGTGGAAAAAAAATCCCCTTAGGCTATATTTAATTATGACCCATTTCCATGTATCTGAAAATAAATGTGTCTAGTCTTCGTATACCAATGGCTTTCAGAAGCACTCCACGGTGATCTAGCTGAGCTTTAAATACAAACATGTATGCGTAAATGTCTACCTACATACTGAAATCATAGAATCAATGACATGGTTTCCTTCTACAAAAGAAATACAAACATCACTCTGAGAAATCATTAACTAAGCTACTGAAAGAAACAAACGCCCGCCAAGCAAACAATTTTTCCAGATAACTTCATTAGAACACTGCAACCGCCCTTTGTCAAATACCTTTAACCCACCTATTATCCTGGGTTAAATCAGGGCCTTACATTAGCTGCACCGTATTTTGCCAGGCATGGAATTCACCAATACCAAGTTTTGTTTTGAGAATGCAACATTATTGTTCTTGTTTAACAGAATAACAGAGTTGGAAGGGACCTTGGAGATAATAGCAATAACAATACTACTAATACTGCTAATACTGCTAATACTACTACTACTACTACTACTACTACTACTACTACTACTACTACTACTACTAATAATAATAATAATAGTTGGAAGTGATCTTGGAGGTCATCTAGTCCAAACCTTGCTCAGGCAGGAAACCCTATACCATTTCAGACAAATGGCTGTCCAGTCTCTTCTTGAAAATTTCCAGTGTTGGAGCATTCACAGCTTCTGGAGGCAGGTTGTTCCACTGGTTAATTGTTCTAACTGTCAGGCAGTTTCTCCTTAGTTCTAGGTTTCTTCTCTCTTTGGTTAGTTTCTATCCGCTGCTTCTTGTCTTGCCTTCAGGCGCTTTGGAGAACAGCTTGACTCCCTCTTCTTGGGGGCAGCCCCTGAGATATTGGAACACTGCTATCATGTCCCCCCTCGTCCTTCTCTTCATTAATCTAGACATACCCAATTCCAGCAGCCGTTCCTTATATGTTTTAGCTTCCAGCCCCCTAATCATCTTTGTTGCTCTTCTCTGTACTCTTTCTAGAGTCTCAACATCTTTTTTACATCATGGTGAACAAAACTGGATGCAGTATTCCAAGTGTGGCCTTACCAAGATCTTCTGCTCCAACCCCCTGCTCAAGTTAGAGACCCTATACTATTCCAAACAAATGATTGTCCAGTTTCTTCTTAAAAGCCTCTAATGATGAGCATCCACAACTTCTGAAAGCAAGCCTTATTTTAATTGATTTTTGTTTAGGGCTGTTGAGTTTATTTTTTTTTAACCTTGCGTTTCTATTTGCTTCTATTCTTCATTCCTATATCGTTTCATATCATTTTAATTCCTGTTGTAAAAAGAAAACAATTAAGAAATCTGGAACTTTAGTTCAGTGGGAAAATAAAGGAACGTTGTAATAAGTGTATGCCCCTTCCCACACACAGACACACAGGCAAGTCCCATGCAAACTGCCTTACTACGGCTGGTTTTAGTTGATATAAAAACAAATACTTTTAATGATTGTTTATGAAAAATAATACATTTCAAAACTGTACATAAAAATTCTTCAGTGTATCCCTACCTTCCCACATAACAGAAGGATCTTATTGCCATTGAAAAATAAAAATAGCTAGCATGAAAATGGTTAGAGGACTCCAGTCCAGATTCACAGATCTGTTAATATCTAGAAGTATAAATTATTTACTCCATCTACATTTATAAAAAAAAAGAAAAGAAAAAGAAATATAGGAATTTGTCCATTGAATAAACATAATTGCACACTATATATTAAGATGCAAAAGGTGTCCTTTAAAACAGTCGGTTTAAGAGGCCTGGGAGACAGTTGTTCTAAAATATTTTCAAGACATATTCTTAAGAGTTATGGAAGATGTAATATTTTGATAGACCTGAGGCAGCATTCGGCCTTAATAGCAAGAAAGTAAGTAGAGCTATGTTTTTGAACTTACATGTTGACAATTCTGGGAGTTGAAGTCCATACATTTTAAAGTTGCCAAGTTTCAAAAATGCTAATACAGAATATCTGAGTAGAGTTCCTGTGTGGATTACTAATAAGGTGACCAACTTTTTTACAGTGAGAAGGAGGACACAAATAAATTGAAGAAAAAAAAGTGAGTCTAATGCGTGCGTGTGTGCAGTGTCGTGTTTCGGTAAGAAGTAAACAAAGCCACTTGCATGCGGTGCACTCTTGCACACGGTGCACTCTCTCAGAACAATTCTCCTGTGTGGAGCGCATGCGTCTCATAATCGGGCCTTGCCGCACTGTACTGAGCCTTGACGAATCATCATGTCAAATACAAATATGTCACATCACATGCAATGGATCGGATCGGCATCGATAGAATACGGAGATTTACAGATTAGTCTTCAAATATCGAAAAGGAGGACATGTAGGAGGACACTTTTCGAGAGAGGACAGAACTTACAAAAGGAGGACTGTCCTCCCTAAAGGAGGACGGTTGGTCACCTTATTACTAAGGAACAATAGGACACAAATCGGAAGAAAAGCATATTTTCCAGAATCAATCCTGCAAGTGTGAAGGTCCTACTACAACAGTAATAAAGAGGATTTCATTTATTCTAAGTTTCTTTTTTTAAAAATAAAACCTAATAGGTTTTGGAGGCAAAAAAGACAGATAGTTTGCCTAGAAGAGAATAGCCTGCTCATTTAGAGCAGAGATGATCAACCTTAGAATGCCTGGCTGGGGAATTCTGGGACTTGACATCCACAAGTCTTAAAAGTTGCTAAGGTTGGACACCCCTGATTTAGAGCAACTGAGTGGCTTTGTTTGGGTGAGGGACACCTCCAGAGAACACAAGGCAGCCTTGCAGAGAAAACCACATGTATAGCCTAGACCAAGGGTCTTCAAACTTGGCAACTGTAAGACTTGTGGAAGTCCACAAGTCTTAAAGTTGCCAAGTTTGAAGACCCCTGGCTTAGACCAACGTTGGAAAACAAAGAACCATCATCCTTGAAAAAAGCAATTTCAAATCAATCTTGTATTGCTGGTAAGTTACATGGATGACTACAAGTAGTCCTTAATTTGCAACCATTTTTGTGTGTGTGTGTGACTATTCTAAGTTACTGAAAAAAAGTGACTGGCAACTGGCCCACTTGTCCACAACTGCTGTAGCATCTCCATGGGTCATGCCTGGATTTTTGAAGCCCAGATCTGATCCCTCCAATAAGCAGAAAAGATGCCACTCGACTAATAGCTTCCTCTTCACTGCCCATCTGTTTTTTTTCCCCTTTAGTGTTATGTCTATGGTCATCCCCATGGTCATGTGATCAAAATTTGGGTGCCTGGCAACCAGCATACATTTATGAGAGTTGCAGAATCCCAGGTCATTTTAGACCTTCCAACATGCAAAGTCAATGGGAGAAGCCTAGTTTCGCTTAACCATTGTGTGACTTACTTAATAACCAAGATGATTCATTTAACAACCATGGCCAAAAAAGGTCATAAAATCGAACGAGATTCACTTAACAACCGCCTCACTTAGCAACGGATGTTCCAGTCTCAATTGCAGTCACTTGTACCCAAAATCAGCAGAATCCTACCTCAACTGGGACCTGCCTTCTAGCCTTCCTTGGGTTCGTGAGCCCTTCCCAAAAAGCATATTCTACATCTGTATTTCTGTGAGTTATATAGCCTACATTAACTGGAAGAGGGCCACTACTTCCAAAAGTGGGCTTGTAAGGATGCTATGAAACAAAAGAAATCCAGCAAATTTTCAGCACAATTTTCAGGTGAGATAGATAGCCCTGGCATAAAACCTCTCTAGATCAGTGTGTCATCAGCTTCATAAGGACTGTGCCATCTGACAATGCTGAATTATATTGTTAGCTTGAATTAAAGTGATATGTTGCCTTAGGAAAGCATTTTCTGGTCCTATAAAAATGAATTACTGTTGCAAAGCTACTGTTCAGATTTATATCTTAAAGGTGGCATCCACTTTTCAGTTTCAAAATCACCAAGTGCGAAAATTTGATGACCCACCAAATTATTATCTGCTTCATATATTCTGCTTAACTTATTCCTATCAGAAACCATTTCCAAACATCTTCAGGTGAACACCAATACTTTTGATCTCTTTTTGCCTTTAGGATACAGCCTTGACAACTTCATGGCACTTGGTCTCTCCAAATAGTTCCATCCTGAGCTAAATATATCTTGTCCATAAGGCTGTCAAATTAAATAAACTAGGATACCATTTCAGGAAAAAGGATATTACATTGCTAGTTGCATCCACTGTAGAAGATAACCTCTTGATTAGAGCTGCATTTATTTTGTACCAAACTTATTTCACTGGGCATTGATACTTCCCACGTGCCCAATTTAGTGCCCAACAAGTGCAAGAAAATCTCCAAAAGTCTTGGATGGACTTTCACAAGTGCTAAACTTTGAAGTTGTCATTTTAAGGCTTATTACAGAAATCTGGAATAATTGCATTAATTCATTCCTCACACCATTGATATTTCATGAATTCCATAAATTCAATTTAAAAGATATTTTCTTCAAATTTAATACATAGTGGCTTCATCAGACATTTGGAAGGCTGGGTCTTCAAAGAGTTGCACACCTGTAACATACTGTAGTGATCTAAAATCAAGAGGCAGCCGAAGGATTTATGAACGACCTTTGAACTGATACCAAGAATTGCCATCAGCCCAATCAATAGTGAGACTAAACTGTCCTTTAGTTTCTTCTGAGGGAGATGGACGGAGAAGGCAAGAAACACAAGAAAATCAGTACCACCTTGACTGCAGCTCTACCCATTGCTGATAAACATTGTCTACCTGGAGGGGGTGGACATGGCAGCTGAGATTCTATCACTTTTTTGGTGCCGATTTCTAGAATGTATAGACTTCTGACATGGAGTCAGGTAGGTTTCAGTTACCTTTACCTGCCCTTCCTAAGTGTCTGAAGGGTTTCCTTTTGTGTGGGCTAGTTCTGGAAAAAGATGGGAGTAGACAGAATGGCCCATTTTGCTTACAGATTTCAGATCTACCTTCTTCTCTTATTCTAAACCAGTGGTTCTCAACCTGTGGGTCAGGACCCCATTTGGGGTCGAACGACCATTTCATGGGGGTCGCCAAACAACGCAGTCTGCCATTTTTTCCCCCTTTTCCTTAGCTATGCTACTCCCTTTTATTCTATTGGCTTTTGAAAGCCAATAGAACAGACTCTCTTAAATAGAGTCTAATTCTATTGGCTTTCAAAAGCCAATAGGAATTGTCCAGGCTGTCTCTACCCTGCTGAGCCCACCAAAAGTCCCATTCTGCAAACGGTGCTGCATCAGTTGAGTAGCCCTCGACTTACAACCGGTTGAGTAGTCCTCGACTTATGACCGGTTGGGGGTCGCGGCATTAAAAAGGTTGAGAACCACTGTTCTAAGCCAAGAGAGTAAACCACAGCCTGCCTCTCTCCTTCAACATTAAGAGTCATGTTAGAGAACAAACTTTCTTTTTTACCCAGTTAAACCTAGTCTCTGTTAGGTAGATTCCCAGAGAAGATGGAATGGGGCTGGGGCACCAAGAAGAATAAGACTGGACAGATAAACAGAAGCTCTTCTGGTTCCCCCCCCCCCCCCGCCCCAAAAGAAGTCCATTTCAGAAGTCCCAATAAGGTCTCACTTACGGCAAAGTCTTGACATTTGGTCACTTGAAGAACAAATCCAAGCCCCACCCCACACACAGACCCTGGGCCTCTGCAGACAGGCTGGCGAAGCAGCACAATGTACGCCTGTCTCTCGTCAATGCTTGTGATGAGTCAAACCGAGAGCTATGGAGTTACACCACATTTACACCAAAGACCCTGCCTGGCTCTGAGCAGGGACCATGACAGGCACTGCTCCCATACGATTCAGAGTGGAGGCCGTTAGCCCTTGAGTAGTGGGGAGAGGGGGCTCCTGCTGCTGGGGGGCCTGTGGCTGAGCCCTGTTTGTCCGGTGGAGGTTATTCCTGTGGATGGGCACATTGGCATGATGGCACTGGACCCCATTAATCACTGGCGGAAAATAGAGGGGCAGCGATTGGCTGGAAAGGCTGGGTGTCGGTGTGAGAGTCCCATTTCTGGGGTCGCTGAAAGGGCCCTTGAAGCCCACCATGCTTCCTGCAGCAGTGGTGATGGAAGCAGTGTCCGAGGGGGGGCGGACTGGATATAATTTCTGATCCCGGGTTGTGTTCATGGATGACAGTGTTCCATTTTTGGAGAGTCCATCAGTGCAGGAATTTTTCATCCAGGAGAGTGTCTTGGGAGCTACAGCATCTTCCCTGCAATGGGGAAGGAAGTAATAAATGGAAAGAAAAATAGGAATCAGTGAAGTTATTTTTCCAATATTCCATTTCCACACTTTTTTTTTTAAGGGTGGGTCTCTAAACTGTGTTTTTTCCATCAAACAGAGTATCTACCTGGGTTTTTGTCGTAAGGATTTATATTCCTATCGGTTTACTACAAAACTAATCCAATCATCCATGATAGAGAAAGAGAACCCACAACCTCTATAGATTAATCATTCCACTGTTGTACAGTGATTTTAACATTACAAAGTGTTTTCCCGTTGAAACTAGTCAGGAAGAACCAATAGAAGGCAAAATTTGTAGCTCAGGGTTTAACTGTGATGTCCTTGGTGCTCTCTGAGCTTGGCTGTTTTCTTGCAGACATTTTATTACCCAAATAGGTAACATCATCAGTGCTACTTAGCATAGAGCTGATAATGTTACTTAGTTCGTTAATAAAACATCTGTAAGAAAACAGCAAACTCAGAGAGCATTAAGGACCATATAATCAGCAGGAAATACTGAAGATGACCCAAATATGTTTGGGGTCTCTAGCGAAGACATTTCCAGGTGACAATTCCTACCATTTCTGGTCATTGGCTATAAAGCACAGGTCCCCAACCTTTGGGGCACCAGGGACCGCTTCCGTGGAGAGAGGTTTTTCCGTGGACTGGAGGGGGCGTGGTTTTGTGTGCTGCCTGCATCCCACAGATGGGGCTTTGCTTGCTTGTGCGGACCCGTTGCTGGCATGCCGTGCCCGGTACGGGTCCACGGACTGAGGGTTGGGGACCCCTGCTATAGAGAGTGTCAGGCTGATGGACTTGGAACCCAACAAGTGGTAGACACTCTTTTCTAACTCCACCATCAGCAGTGCCAGATTTCTACGATACTTGCTTGATTTCATTGGCTACATCCTCTTGGGCTTCCTTCTTTTTCTTTCGGTAGATAAACATCTGGAGTGTAAAAAATATGATCAGGCCAAGTCCAATGAGGGTTCCCACGACTGCACCAGCCACCACCGCTGTATTGAACGCTGCAAAAGGAGCCACAATGAAGATGTTTTTTTGGGGGGGTTGTTTTTTGTTTTTGTAAAGGAGACGGGAACGAGATTTCAACAATCCTATCCCTCTCAATTTTTCCCAACCTCCTGCTCCACTAGATGTTTGGATCCAGTTAATCCTGATTAAAATCCCTTTAATGTCTTTACACCAAACTAATTTTGGATCCAATCTCTGTGTTGAACATGTATTTATATATCATTGATATCAATCTTACTTCAAAAAAGGAAGTAAATAGATAAATAGATAGATAGATAGATAGATAGATAGATAGAGATAGATAGATATAAGATATAGATATGCAGACAGACAGACATGATACATACTGTAGATGATATATAAATAGATGATATTGATATATATATATATACACATATATACATATTCAAAATTTTGTGGCTGGCAAAGAGTTAGTGGGAGACTAGTATAGCTATTTCAAGTCCCACTAATTCTTTGCCAGCCACAAAATTTTGAATTTATAGTGTTCACAGTATGTGACATCTGCCTGCAAAACATGCTCCTAGATTGGAGCGAAACGCAGAACAGACTGATTTATATTTGGTAGACCGGGTGCCTCATACATATATATACATACAGTACATACATATATGTATTGTGGACTGGTAGGGAAGGGGGAGAGGGGACGGTTCTTTGTGAGTGGCGGGCAAGTGAGTGCACATATGCGCACCTGCTGATTGCGCGAGTGGGGATGTGCATGTGTGCAAGCACTCGCCCGCCACTTCTATGGCCCGGTTCAGAATGCACAAGGACCGGTACTGGGTTGCAGCCCAGGAGTTGGGGACCCCTGCTGTATACAGGACTGTTCTTCCCGTGGTTATAAGCAGCTGTGAAATAGACTAGATTGGGAGATATTGACTGCTCAAACCATTTCATGAGCAAGCGAGATGGTTCTCCTTGGTTTTTCCCTGTCTGACATGCTCTCTGTGGACCAACGCTGACAATTCTTAGCAGTGCTGTTGACTGGGGAATTTTGGGAGGTCAAGCCCATATTTCTGTCAGAGAGACCAGGAGAGCAGGCAGATTGAGGAAGGATGCCCTGATCACTGCCTCTCATTGGCTGTCAACGCATGAACAGATTGTCAGGACAAGGGGGACTTTTTACCAGGAATATGCACAACATTTTTTTAATCCAGATGGAAGAGTCACCACTACAGATTGTTAGCTAAATGGAGACCTTCAATGCAGTAGCCAAGGAAACACCCCACATTTTCCTAAAATTGGAAACGGGAGACCGTTCTTAAAGATACAACTGATTGCAAGGGTGATGTTTTATTTATGTCGGCCTTCTCTTGCTACTAAGTGTTCCCATGTAAATGGAAGCAGAGTAGCAGCAGTTGTGGGCTGTGAAAATGAGACTCACGTGGTTGTACTTCCAGACTGAGTGTGCAGTTGGAATGGCCAGCTATGCTGGAGGAGTTGCAGAGATACACCCCAGACATCTCGATAGTCAGATTGGTCAGCGTCAGGAGCCCCTTCTTTGTGTCTGGGGAAAAAAATGCCAAGCAAGCTTCAGACCAACAGAACTGTATTGTAAGAGGACCCCATTAACTTTCTCTCAGTGACCTGGCTGAGCACCTAAATCAAGTTTTCTCATTACACTAAGCCAGGGTGTGGAACAATGTTTCTCAACCTTGTCAACCTGAAGACATGTGGACTTCAACTCCCAGAGTTCCGTGCTGGCTGGGTAATGCTGGGAGTTGAAGTCCACACGTCTTCAGGTTGCCAACGTTGAGAAACAGTGGTAGAAGTTGAGCTTAAAGTGTCACCAAAAAGTTTGCTTCCTCCCCTGAAACTCATTCGGAAGTTTTCACCAAATAGTAATTCTAAAGGAGAATGAGGAAGAATATGAAATATCCAGAGAGTAAAACCAACCTACAATTTTGGATTAAATTCTGTGCACACATTGAACGGAATCAAACTTCGTTCCTGACTAATCTTCCCTTTTGTTTTGGAAAGCCAGCACAAAAGATACATGGGGGTCTTCTCCCCTCTTCACCCTAAACCACAACCAGGTCCAACCTGCCCTGTCCAGCTGTGCTGGATTAAAATGCCCAGAATAAAGATTCCTACCTTGTGTGGGTGCAAAGAAAACCTGGAAGCGGGGCTCAGTCTGGTGCCAATGGTAAACTGGGACTGGTTTTCCAAAAGCAGATTTGCAGGACATGGTAACGTTGCCTCCAACCTGGGTGCTGCCTTGAATCCGACACTTTGGCGGAGATGGTGGGACTGCAAAATAATAAGGTCTCTTTTTTCATTATTAACGAAATACAAAAACCATTCAGTGCTTTAAAAGGTAGTAAATGGCGTCATCTACTGGCTACAAAAAACACTGGCATTCCACTGAAAGCTTGGGGAAAAGAATCAGTTCAGGATCCATCAGATTTCAAAGGGGAAGAGATGTTGTTAGTCTGTTGCAGAACCCCAAATATGGAGGGATCTTAAATATTAACGGATGCATCAAGGAGGTTGTAGTTAATGTTACCTCTGGCAACTTTTGATTTTGACCTTTCTTTGTGCTATTAAAATATTGGGGGGGGAGGGTCAGAAATGATCCCATTCTATCTTTGGCCCTCTGGAGGTTTCTTCTTGAAATATCAACAGGAAAAGGGTTCCTGAAGCTTCAGTGCTCACTTTGGGCAAAACACAAAGAAGGAGAATCACTCCTTCTAGATTCTATCCCATGGGACTTGTTGGGGAAGAAGGGGCAGAACTTGCAGGTGGAGTTAAAAGAGGAATCAGCCTAGAATCCCTACGTGATCACAAAGTTCAGCCTCCTTTGAATCCCATTGACCCTTATCCAACTCTTAGCAGCTGTTAACAATTATTTGAGAAGATTCCTGTACCTATATATGAACAGCAACAAATCAGTTTAAGTGGACTTTCATATGTGAATCTGATCTTTTGCACCTGACAGGACTGTTTTGCAGCAGCTCACAAGCTGAAACTTGGATGCTCCTTACAAATTGCTACGCAGCTCTGCAGAGTACAAGGCTGAGCTGAAGAATGAACTGTCAGACTCCCAAGCTCAGCTGTATGGTGCAGAAATGGAAAGATCTGCAACAATCTTTCCTGATGCATCCAAAGCCGGTAGAGGTCCCCCTAAACTTACAACTATAACTGAGCCTGCAATTATGGCTATAAGCCATGATGGTTGTAAAGCAGGTCGTCACATGACCGATCCAATTTTATGATCTTTTTTGTGGGGTAAGGGAGTCATAAACTGAAGTCAGTTTACCCAGCAGTCATAAACCGAACCCACTGATGCTAAGGGCTGGTTTTTGCTGGAAACCGGAACAATAAAAACATTGTAAATCATAGTCATGGGACTGTGGGATGCTGCAATTGATCACAAACAGGTTGCCAAGAGCCCAAAATGCAGTCACGTGACCACAGGCAGAGTGCATCCATCAGAACTTCAGAACCAGGTGGTAAGGAAGTGAGAAGTTCAATTTAACTTCGAACGATTGCCAAGCGACCAGTCATAACCCAAAGACTACTTCCATGAAAATGAAATGTTCTAGATGATCCAAGATCACATCTCCCCATCTAACCTCTGCAAAGTAGAAGAAAACCAGAGTTGATTTACCTAGAACGGTGAGGTTAACAAGTCCAATGTTTCTTCCCTTCACCGTACTGTCGTCCGGAACGTTCACGGTGCACATATATTGGCCGGAATCCATTTCTTTGGTATTATTAATTACAAGGGAGACATTGTGAGAAGGCATACGGAACAAAAATCCAAGGCGCTGCTTGAGATCGGGGTCTTCCACTTTCGGTGTGTCATACATAAAGGCCAGGATCTGCAATGCAGATTAAAGGATTCATTGCTTTGGCTGAAACAGCAGCCGGCTGATATAAAACACAGCACCCAACATGAAACTTGTCTGAATACACCTGTGAGGGATACACAAAATTGCATGCATAGAATAGTCCAAATGATTTTAAATCTTGGCAGCTTTAAGTTGTTTGGACCTCAACTCCCAGAATTCTCCAGACAGCATGGCTGGCTAGGGAATTCTGGGAGTCGAAATCCAGACATCTTCAAGTTGCCAAGATTGAGGAACACTTTATGACTTGGCCTCTTTCTCTGTGTACTCAACTATTGGCTGCTCTTTCACTTGTGTGGCCCACACATCCTACAGTTGCTGAGTTTGAGCCACACTGGCGTAAACTGTCAACCTCTTTCATACCATTTTTGAAACAGAGACATTCTGGATAGGGGCTGGAAGACTCCTTTTTCATCTCTTTTCTCCTGCTGTTTCTTCTCCTGTGTCTTTACCATCATCTTAAAGTAGTTAATACAGACATTTCTTTCCCCTTTATCAATCAGTCTTCCCCAAGAATAGCAATACCAGTGGAGTCCAGAGACATCATTTTGGTCTTCTGCAAGTGACAGAGGAAGCCCACCTTTGCCTTCAGGTGGGATGTTCCAATCTAACTCTTCCTGGTCCAAAAAGGTTCCAATAAATCAGTGGTGGCGAACCTCTGGCACAGGTGCCAGAGGCGGCACTCAGAGCCCTCTCTGTGGGCACGTGTGCCATCGCCCCAGTCCTAGGCCTTCAGCTGGGTTTTATAAAACCTTTTCACTTTAGACCTCTACTGCTGTGTACAAAAAAAAAAGGTTCAATCAATCAGTCAATTTCAACTTCTCACTGGAAAAAAAAAGATCTTGCAATGTTGGAATTGATTGATTGAACTTTTTAGTCCCAGCCAGTCTGCCGTTACCACTGCAGCCACACCCACCCAATGGGCCACACCCACCTAATAGGCCACACTCACCCGGCACCTGACAACGCATAAGTGGGTTTTGGGTTGCAGTTTGGGCACTCGGTCTCTAAAAGGTTTGTCATCACTGCAATGAATCCATCCCAGAATCTGTGTCTTGACATGCATTTTAGTGAACTAGAGCCACCCAGGGACTTTAAAGCAGAGGAAAAGTTGGCTTCGATGATCTAGCAGAGCTCGGTTGCCATGGTAACAAAAGATGCTTCATTCCCCTTCATCACCCCATAGGATCCCTTTCTCCATGAAGCATTTGAAAACCAACAATTACAGAGACCTGATTGAGGGGGGTGAAAGATTGCAGAGAAGGAAACAAAACCATGAAAGGATTGCAGCCAGATCCTAAGCCTGCTGTGAAGAAATGTAAACCCCGCCCTGAGAATGAACAGTGAGGAAGGTTTTGTGATCACAAAGAAAGTCCTTGTCCTTGTCTACCTCAATGAGTGTGGAGACCTCCAGCCATAGGCGACAGGATTCTACAAACGTTTTGAAAAGCAACGCTTAATGAAATTATGGAAGTTCTCATAGAAGATCAGGAACATCTGCTGCGAGGCTGCCTCCTTTGCAAATGAATTAAAACATTCTGTCTAATTGCTCAAGTTAATTTGGAGGAGGAGAAAACATGGGTTTATAGACTGAATCAGCTCCATGGCCATACTTCTGTCCTTCCAGAAAATAGAAATTATGATTTACACTTGCAATGGAGAAGAATGCAGAGTGGAGGGATGCCCTTGTACATAAACAACACGTTGCAGGTGGAAGGAGTCCATCAAGTTTTAAATGGGAGAACTTCAACATAGTAGTAGTGCCCAATTTATTGTCCATTTACTATCCCCCTCCTGTCAGGACCCTTGACTGTGGTATCAAATTCAAAGCAATCTCTAGCACAGTATTTCTCCATCTTGCCAACTTGAAGATGTGTGGACTTCAATTCCCAGCAATGCTGACTGGGGGAATTCTGGAATTCCACCCAACCTGAAGTTGTCAAGGTTGAGAAAACTTGCTCCAGCATGTGTGGGAAGTGAAGTCCACCCATCTTAAAGTTGCTAAGGTTGACGAACCCTGCTTTAGCATGCTTTCCTGAAGAACTCTGGATTCTTCAGTCTGGCTCTCAGCCATCTTTCCCACCTCCCTATCTTTTTCAAAGAGACACAAAGGTGTCAGTGTTACTTAGCACCTCTTCCGCTTCCATGGCTCATTCCACACAGGAAGCAATGATGAGTCTAGCACATCATAGGGATGACGCTTTGTTGGCATAGCAACAGCAACAAACAGTTCAAGGCTTCAGTGTGACACAAGAGGTGGCTGCCCCCTGAGGCTATGTGCGTGAGCATCACATAAGGTGGGCAAAGCATCTACATGCCCTTCCTAACTTCTCGTTTTATGCTCTCTGGAGCCTCTTTGCTAAAGCAGCCAGCTTCATGGCAAAAATTATGAATTTTGCCTGCGTGATTTTTGGTGCCCCCCATAATTTGGGGGGAGGGAATGCAGTCAATTTGAGGGAAATACAGTAATGTAAAATTCAGGTAGCCCTCGATCTTCAACATTTTATTTAGTGACCATTCAAAGTTAAAACGGCACTGAAAAAAAGTGACATAACCGTTTTTTTCACACTTATGATCTGGTCACATGATCAAAATTCGAACACTTGGCAACTGGCAAGTATTTATGACGGTTGCAGTGTCCCGGGGCCACGTGACCACCTTGGACAACTTTCTGATAAAACAAAGTCAATGGGGAAGCTAGATTCACTTAACAACCATGTGGCTAATTTAGCAACTGCAGTGATTGGCTTAACAACGGTGGCCATAAAGGTCGCAAAGGGGGCAACATTCCCAGAACAACTTCCTTGCCTAGCAACGAAAATTTTAGACTCAATTATAGCCGTACGTCAAGGACCACCTATATATTCCTTAATCTCACATAAAATTGAATGCATTTAATTTCTCCCTTAGAAAAAGTCTCCTATCCCTTCTCCACCTAAGCAATGCTGCCATCACTTCCATGCCCCTGACCGCTCTCATATTCCAAAAATACTTTTAAGACGATTGTGCAACTCCCACTTGCATGTAGAGGCTCTTAATTTTGGAATCTGTTGGCAGCGTGCTTCCATTTTATGTCAACTCAGCCAGCTTTAACATAAGGGGGATAATGCTGGCTTTCTCTGCCTTTACCAGTCTTTGGGGTCCAAATGTGTTACAGGCTGCAAAGTGCTCTAAGAAACACTCAAGCTGAGCATACAAAAGTGGGGATACTCTCCTATCCCAAAAAAAGCCCATCCAGATTTGAAGGGAAACAGATTCACTGTTGAGCAATAAGCTTCAAATCATAGTGGCATTGCATTCCTTAATTCATCTTCCCGTAAAGAGAAAGTGTTGATTTCTGAAATGTCCACAGCTGCCTCAGTCTATACCCTTCTAAAATGAAGACATATAAATTAGATGGTGTCCAAGCACACTTTTTAGCTCTCATATTTATTTATTTATATATAGTATATATATATTTATATACAAGTGTTAGTTGCGAAGTCATGTCCGACCAATCGTGACCCCATGGACAACGTTCCTGCAGGCCTTCCTGTCCTCTACCATCTTCTGGAGTCCATTTAAGCTCACGCCTACTGCTTCAGTGACTCCATCCAGCCACCTCATTCTCTGTCATCCCCTTCTTCTCTTGCCCTCCATCTTTCCCAGAATTAGACCCTTCTCCAGTGAGCCCTTCCTTCTTATTAGGTGCTCAAAGTACTTGAGTTTCAACTTCAGGATCTGGCCTTCTAAAGAGCAGTCGGGGTTGATCTCTTCTAGGACTGACCGGTTTGAATGCCTTGCAGTCCAAGGGACTCGCATAAGCCTCTTGATTTTTTTAATGTTGATTTTTTTCATTGAGTTAGATCAGCGGTTCCCAACTTTTTCTATATCCCGCATTCCTAGAATGCATCTGATATAGTCTCGCACCCCTTACAAAAGTTCAAAATGAATTATGCATATACACTATAATTTTGAAACTTCTAAATCCAAGTTTTCACACCCCCCTGGAATATCATCTCGCACCCCTGGGGGTACGATCACCCCCACTTGGGAACTCCTGAGTTACATGCAGAGTCTGGAAGCTTGACAGAATTGGGATGGATCCCAACTGAAAAAAAAAGTAAAAATAAAGTAAAAATGATTTTTAAAAAACCCATTAACCAGTCTTAACATTAGGCTGACTTTAATGGTCACTGAATCACTTTAAGGATTTCAGTGAACCAAACCTAAATGTGAGAAAAGTCTTAAATCAACGGACATTTTTCTATATATGTGAGCTGTACTGACATCTCTGTGATAATTCTGCTTATTTATCTTGGCATGATATTGATTAGTTTTTGAGGAGGAGATGCACTTACTGTCATCTATTTTTACATTAAAAAAACAGCTTGTCTGTAAGAAAGACTTTCCCTTCCATTTTAAATCTTTCCATTTGCAGTTTGCTATGTGATTCAGTTCTGACGTTGTTCAACTCGCAAGGGTTATAGACCCAGGGGTGTAAACTGAGCTAAGAGATCTGGGCTGCAAACGTCCAAATGCAGGTTTGTCCTTGACTTAGGACTACAATTCAGCCCAACATTTATGTTGCTAAGTGAAACATTCTTCAGTGAGTTTGCCCCATTTTACAACTTTCCTACCTCGGTTGTTAAGTGAATCACTGCAGTTGTTACATTAATCAAATTTTGGCTAAGTGAATCTGGCTTTCCCCTTGACTTTGATTGTCAGAAGGTTGCAAAAGTGGATCTCCAGGATCCCAGCACACAGCAGCCGTCATAAACATGAGTCCATGGCCAAGCGTCAGAATTTTGATCACATGACCATGGGGACGCTACCATGGTTGTTCAGCGTGAAATATGGTCATAAGTCACTTTTTTCAGTGCTGTTGTAACTTTGAACAGTTACTAAATGAATTGTTAAGTCAAGGACTATCTGTAACTCCTACCAAGGAAATACAGACATCCCTTGTAGTCTGCTGCCCTCTAGTGGTCATTGTGATTCTTGCCACCTGGATCTGGTAGCCCTAGTGGTCTTTCTGATACAGTGCAGGTAGTGCTCGATCATGACCACAATTGAGACTAAGGGGGATGTTACATGCAGATCATCACACAGAACTTCTCCATGTAGTCCAAGATTTCAAAGCCTCATCGCAGGCACATGGGATTCATTGCTATGGCCATTAAGGACATAATTTGGAGCCCACATGAAAAGAAAGAGGTCATTTAAATGCTTATTGTGGAATACATACATATAACTCAAACCAATCCATTGGAGAAATGTACAAATGCCTCTTTTGGACAGATGGAGCCTTCAAATCACTACCTTTACTTCTTATCTGTAGTGCTGGGCCATTGATCAGTCAACTGGGTTGTTAAACTCTACTCAACACTCAAACTGTTTTTAGGAGCTTATCAGTTGCCCATTTCTAGAAAAAAAAGAGCAGACAGTCCCCCAAAGATGCTTCTTCACGAGTCAACTGGATTTTCTTGTTTTTCTTTGAAGACATTTCACTTCTCATCCAAGAAGCTTCTTCAGCTCTGACTAGACGGTGGGATAGGGAAGGATTTATACTCCTTGCAGACAGTTGGTCATTTGCATTCTTCCTTTTCTTTTTTGACCAGCTGTCTGCAAGGAGTATAAATCCTTCCATTCCTCACCCTCCAGTCAGAGCTGAAGAAGCTTCTTGGATGAGAAGAGAAACGTCTTCAAAGAAAAACAAGAAAGTCCAGTTGACTCGTGAAAAAGCGTCTTTGGGACAACCGTGACCTGGATGACTGAGCATCTCCCTACACAAGAGCAGACCTTGGATTTTTCCCAGTCTTGGCAAAGTGAGGCAGTACCTGCAAACGTTCCCCGGGTCTTTCCCGGTGCCAGGTGACAAAAGGTGCGCTGACACTGGTGGACGTGTATGAGACCGGAAGTATGGCCTGCTGTCCTTGGATCACTGTCACTGACGTTTGTCCAACTTCCACTTCCAAGACAGCAGAAGACAGTCCTGCAAGGAGAAAAGAAACGGAAGGGCTGGTTACAGATAGTCCTCGACTTACAACAGTTCGTTTAGTGACCGTTCCGAAGTTACAATAGCACTGAAAAAAGTGACGGATGACCATTTTTCACACTTAAGACCGTTGCAGCATCCTAATGCTCAAGTGATCGAAATTCAGAGGCTGGGCAACTGACTCACATTTATGACAGTTGTAGTGATCGGGGATGGGTGGGTCACATGATCCTCCTTTTGCGACCTTTTGACAAGTAAAGACAATGGGGAAGCCAGATTCACTTAACAACCGTGTTACTAATTGAACAACTGCAGTGATTTACTTAACAAATGTGGCAAAGCCTAAAACGGGGCAAAACTCACTGAACAAATTTCTCGCTTAGCAACATAAATGTTGGGCTTAATTGTGGCCGTAAGTCAAGGACTACAGTAATACAGTATGAAGTATGGACGTGTTATGAGTGTTGTCTGAAATTATCCCAGGGAAACAAATACCGACAGGCAGTTTTCACTGAGAAAAGTAAATGTAATATAAATGTGTTCAGATAAGACAAAACTGTTTGGGCAACCCAGACAGGGATGCTGTTTAGGCTGCAGAATTTAGGGTATTCCCTTAGAGCAGGGGTAGGCAACCTTGGCTCTTTTATGTCTTGTGGACTTTAACTTCCAGAATTCCTCAGCCAGCTTTGCTTTGCTGGCTGAGGAATTCTGGGGGTTGAAGTCCACAAGTCATAAAAGCGTCAAGGTTGCCTACCCCTGCCTTAGAGGAAATACTTCTATTTGGGACAGTGGGTTGGCTGGGGAATTCTGGGAGTTGAAGTCCACACCTCAGAAGATGGTCCAGGTTGAGAAACGCTGAACTAGAGTGTTTTCTTCTGGTCTGCTTTTGGATGGTTGCTTTGCATGGGTGTTTTTATACAATGGAAAGGAATAGACGTCCTTGAAGTCCCTTCCTGATTTGGCCACCTCAGGATCTCACTAGTTCCATACATAAAGCACAGGGGCTCAAAGGAAGTCTTTGCAAGGTACTTCCGCTAATTTCAAATGATACCTAACATTAAGGTGAATGGTGAAGTCTGAACTGTGAAATTAAGCCAGTGAGAGGCAGATGAATCTAAGAATCTTTCCTCAGGATATTGAACAAGAAAAAACCCCATATCCATTCCAAGAGCCACACAACCAGTGGTGGGATTCAGCCGGTTTGCACCACTTTGGCAGCTAATTTTGGGTTGTCCAGGACCATATAAGGACTTCCGGAAGTGGCATCCACACAGAGAACCGGTTGTTGACATATTTGAATCCCACCACTGCACACAGCGATAGGTTTTTAACCTAACAATCTTGTTGCTAAGGATTTCGACACTAGATGCATCATGTTGCTTTATTTGAAGTGACCTCTGAACTTCCCACAACTATTTCCATCAACTCCCTGGCTCCCCCATCCAGAATGTTCCCTAGGAAGAGGTGGAGACTTTTACTATTGCTAGCAAATTGCCAGCATTTTTTTCCTCAGTGGAATTTTACCTCGTTCTGATGGGAATACGCGGAAGCTAAATCATTCTGCGCGTCTCCGGCTTCCTATCCAGGCCTTGTGGAAAACCATTCTCAAAAAGCAACAGTTAAACTCAACTCGACATGCTCAACTAACCATCAAACGGTTGCCATCTTCAAATGCCCATCACGAGAGACTGACTTTTTTTTTTTTAAACCCAACTTCATCACACTTGGAAAAGCTGCTAGCCTCTCTCATCAGTATTTCTATTTTGGGAACATGGTTTTTCTTTTAAAAAAAAGAAAAAGAAAATGCGGGCCAGAAGAGGGCAATTTCTCTCTGAATTCAGAGCACTGAAAACTCAAATTGTAAAAGCATTTTAGATCACCCCTTTCTATAGCAAAGACATCTGATACCCATCCCACCCCGCCAGGATGTTCTGTACAGGTAGCCCTTGACATTATGACCACCACAGAGCCCAAAGTTTCTATGGCTAAGCAAGACAGTTGATAAGTGAGTTTTACTCCATTTTACAACCTTTCTTGCCACAGTTGTTAAGTGAATCACTGCAGTTGTTAAGTTAGTGACCCGATTGTCAAGTGAATCTGGCTTCCCCACTGACTTTGCTTGTCAGAAGGTCACAAAAGGGGATCCACATGATCCCAGGACACAGCAGCCGTCATAAATATGAACTGGTTTGCCAAGCAGCGGGTATTTTGATTGTGTTACTGTGGGGGTGCTGTAATGGTCGTTAAGTGTGAAAAATGATCATAAGTCACTTTTTTCAGTGCTGTTGTAACTTCATACGGTCGCTAAACAAGTGATTGTAAGTCGAACCATTGTAGACAGAAGAAAATAAAGGACAGGTTACAATTCAGGATTGTAAGTATTCGATCTTAGGGGCATTGTGAATGCTTGTGGGCATTCACAATGTGGATCTGCTGTTCCCATGAAACAGCTTCCAAATCAGTTACAATATTGGAGGACTTTTAGTTCATAAATGTACGATGGGATCTTTTGTAAACTACCCTTGGAAACAGGAATAGAATAGAATGCAGAATAATAGAATAGAATAGAATAGAATAGAATAGAATATGGATAGAATAGAATAGAATAGAATAGAATAGAATAGAATAGAATAGAATAGGAGTTGGAAGGGACCTTGGAGGTCTTCTAGTCCAGCCCCCTGCTCAAGCAGGAGAACCTATACCATCTCAGACAGGTGAACGTTTAGTCTCTTCTTAATGGTGGACTTGAGCTCATAATGTAATGAAATTGTCCCTTTTAGGGTTCCATGGTCAGCTTGAGCCTTTCCTGGAATTATCCCATCCTTGCTCACCCATCCTGTGATTTCCTCTTCTCATTGAAATGTTTTTAAATTCCCCTTTCTTTTGGTTCCTTGAAAACATATGCGCGCAGAAACACAAAAGGGTTTCATTCTTCTGAAGTGGAGCAAATTCCCAGGTGTGGTCTCCTGAGTTATAAGCCTGGGAGGATCTTGTCATCTATTGTTTGATCAGATCCCTGATGGCTTGCAACCTCCCTGGTAGAATGCACCAATGTTCTTCAAGGAATGCCATAGGGAAGATGATCGGAAATTATTTCACATTGCCATAGAAACTAGTGCTCAAAATAATGGTGGTTTTGAAGCTACCTAGTTTTCATTTAAATATACACTGTATTAACACACACATACACACACACCCTGATGGCAATATCTGTGTATCAGCAGAATGGTTAACCTATAGAGCAGACATGTCAAACACAAGGCCCGGGAGCCGGATGTGGCCCGCGAGGTGGTTTCATGTGGCCCGCGAAGCCATCCTGGAAACAGTGAGCGAACGGCCCCCTCTACCGTGGCCCTGGCCCAGGCCAGCCAGGAGCCAATGTACAATTTTGTGGTGGCCATCTTGGCACTTGCCCCAGTGGACTATGCCTTGGCACTTGCCCTTCTGCCAGAGACCCTCAGATCTGTCCCACTCCTGCCCAGGTCCCCATAGGCATCTTGACGCAAATGATGTAGAACTGGCCACGCCCACCCAGTAGGCCACACCCACTCCATCCACGCCCACCCAGTAGGCTGCACCCACTCTGGCCACATCCACCTTTCCCCCCCAGGGCAACCACAATGCTGATGCGGCCCTCAGTGAAATTGAGTTTGACACCCCTGCTATAGAAATTGTGTCTATGGAGAGTCTCAATCATCCAAATCATGGTTGTCCCAAAGGTGCTTTTCCAAAAGGCAACTGGACTTTGTTTTTGTTTTTTTTCATTGAAAATATTTCGCTTCTCATCCAAAAAGCTTCTTTAGTAGTGAAGGACGGAAGAAGCTTCTTGGATGAGAAGCAAAATTGTTGCCTCTTGGAAAAGCACATTTGGGACTATAGAGGTTATGGATTCATCCTCTGAAGGTTTTTAGGATGTTGAACAGTTACTTCTCCTAGATCAGTGGTTCTCAACCTTTTTAATGCCGCGACCCCCAACCGGTCGTAAGTCAAGGACTACTCAACCGTTCATAAGTCGAGGACTACTCAACTGGTGCAGCACCGTTTGCAGAATGAGACTTTTGGTGGGCTCAGCAGGGCAGAGACAGCCTGGACAATTCCTATTGGCTTTTGAAAGCCAATAGAATTAGACTCTATTCAAGAGAGTCTATTCTATTGGCTTTCAAAAGCCAATAGAATAAAAGGGAGTAGCACAGCTAAGGAAAAGGGGGAAAAAAATGGCGGACTGCGTTTTTTGGCGACCCCCGTGAAATGGTCGTTCGACCCCCAAATGGGGTCCTAACCCCAGGTTGAGAACCACTGTGCTAGATGGCTTAACTGTTTTTTTCTGAATTTCACAGAAGGTTAGAGGAGATGATTCTTGTGGTCCTTCCCAACTCCTACAATTCTCACCTGTCTGGCATCCTGTCTATCCATTCAAATCCAAGCATGGACCATTTAAATAAACTTCACCCTGTTTCGATTGGGAGTGATATATATATGTAATAGAAAAACAATGGTGGCACCTCTGTCCAACTCTCAGAAAAATAGCATAATAAAATAAGCTTTAAAGAACACTCCCCCCCCCCAATAGAAATTCCAAAGGGCCCCTGGAATGAATAAGAAAAAGGGAAATTGGGGGGAAATTGGAAGGTGGGTTTTGATATAAATTAGCTTTACTCTCTTTTGAGCTTTGGATCTCCTTCTTTGAAATTGGTAATTACTAAGCATCTCAACCCCAATGAGCATTTCAGAGGAAAGTTAACCATTCTTGAAAAGTGACGGGGTTGATTCCGATTGGCCCAAGTGGAATCTCACAGCTTCAGGGCAAGAAAATCAAATGGAATCATGTGCTCTGAAAACAACCCTGCATTTTCCTGACACAATAATACCCAAGATGTCAGAGAGGAAACCAAATTGCCCAGAGGTCCAGGGAATCATCATACATCCTTAAGACTTGGGCTGTGACTTACTGCTTGCCTAAATCCCCCCAAATACTAGGACAGCAACCTTGATTAGCA